CAAGATTGTTGTCTTTAATGCCAAAGGCGTTAGGTATTTTATAAGTTCCTTGAGTACTATACAGGCCCATTCAGCTTCAGTATCTGATGAGGGAGTCACCAAAAGTGGCAAGCAATAGGTAGCACACTTTTGAGCTGCAAATGACCCCATTGCTTTAAAGGCTCCTTGTTTTGCAAAACTTGCAAGGTAACGAAGACGGGATGCATCTGTCGCTAGAAGCTGAAGCGCAGAAATGAACAAGTAGGAAGACTTGACTGTTGCAGGAAAGTATGGAGATTCCAAAAGAGCTTTGGCCGATGGCCACCTAATTATTATGCCAAAGAAAAGTACGTCAGGTTAAGCACAGAAAAATGCATTGTCAATCATATTTCCCCGCATTTATAAGGAACTATAATGGGTTCTCTGTGGATAGGTGCATATTACATCCATAGACAAGTGATATTATGTATGTGTCGCTATTAAGCAATAAGCACACAGAGAAGAAGCACTACCAAATAATTTAACATTGTGAGTTTTAAGAAGGCAATGCCAAGTGTTACCTGTTCGACTCATGCTGGATGCAAGCTTCCACGATCACTTTGGTGTCAAAAGGAAGTTCTTGAAGCAAGCCTGGCAATCTACCATCCTTTAGGTGCTCGGCCAGAGACGCTGGATCGAAAAGTGGCCTCCTTAAATGAAGTTCAGCTAAGACACAACCCACGGAAAATATATCTTTCCCCACACCTGAGGACGGAGTCTTCGACAAATATAATTTTTGCCTCCAGAGCAGTATCTCTTGGTATCCCATGGAGCTTTCATCCTCCACTTCAATGTGCTCGAGAAGATTGTTCAGATCAACACTATGTGGCACTCCATACTTTTGGCCAACATCAGATATGAGTTCTTTAATGCTATTATTGACCACCCCTTCCATATGTGGGATGTTTTCGTTAGAATCCTCATTGAAACAATAGGCCGGATTTAAATGCCTAGCATGTTCAGAAAATGCAAACGCTTCTTCCAGTTCATGCAGGTTAACAGTTTCAGAAAGAAGACTGTTATCATGCCATTGAGACTCAGATGATCCATTGTCTACATAGCGTATCTTCTTGGAAATAGCCCTGCGCATCGGATGTGGTCGAGTAAAGAGTTGACGGCGTCCAGCTGATCTAGGCACTGTGGGGCCTGTTGATGGCAGCATAACGTTCTTGGCTGCAACGGCTGCCTCACCTGACATTTTATACCCGAAGGTGATATCTATCCAATTATGGATTTGGCACGACACCCGGTCACTTTCTAACGCGTCACGATGCATTTTAATGAATTCCTCTGGGGAACTAGCCCAGGACGGTATAGACAAATCAGCCATACCATTGTGTATAGAATGAAAAATTTGTGAGTCAAAGTAGAATTCTGGGATGCACTCATCAGGAGTCCACTGGTAAAGTCTTTGCATAGTCGAGGGATATTCATTGGGTTCATACACTGATCGTACGGCCAGCCGTAGTACGCTCAAAGGCAGCCTCCTTGCTTTGTAGCTGCAGACAGCCAGTTCAGAAAGGCACTCATCTGACACATGATGAGGGATTTCAGATGTTGAATAGGTGAAATCCAACTGTTCATCCCCTTTTGCTAACCTCCACTTACTCTTGCGTAAATCTCGCCACCCTGCATCAGAATTTTCTTCAGGTTTTGTGCTAAAATCTATTACCCATGGCATTACTGGATAAAACGTATTATCTCCCCACCTTCTCCCAGCCAATCTGTTTAAGATGAGAAGATACTCAAAATTACTTAGCTCCCCCCTCCACCATTGCTGAAATTCATAATGCCAATCAACAGACTGGGACAGCTTCAAGTCTGCATAGAGTCTTTGACAAGCACAGTCATCCACATCGCAGCTAATCCCAAATTTGTTATTTGGAGGAGTAGTGCATTCACCGTCCATCAAGCACGAGCTAGACTGATCAAAAATGGAAATCCAGGACCAGTATGACTTGGTCATCATTATACTCGATGGGCAAATATTGCCATGAGTAATGCCTAATCCATGTATATATGCTAGACCTGATAGAATTTGATAGATCACGAACCTTATATCCCATTCAGACATCAAAGTCTCAGGACTATAGTGAAGAATGTTTTCCAAGGTATATGGGGTTTTAGGGAGCACCAGATTAATATGATCAGAAGATTTAAGCATCCCAAGAACAGGAGCTATATTTGGATGCCTCAAACATCCTGGGAAACCATCTTCACCATATGAAGGCACCCCAATTAGGTTAAGGAAGTTAACACTGTCCCGTCCTGTGGCCTTTCCTTCAATTAAGAGACAGAGCGAGAGTAAAACATGATCTTCCAGCGACCCAGACAAGAAGCTAGAAGCAAGTTCCTGAAATCCGGAGTAGCAACAAGGGGCAACATAAGCTATTGGCGCCAATGCAGTAATTGTCCTATCACGAGAATACTTGTAAGAATAATTACAACCAGTACATTTAGATCCCCATGCCCCAGAGCATGATGTTCTTCCACTATCCTTCAAAAAGGACACAGGTCCACTTAATGGAGGCTTCTCAGTGGCTTCATTGTCAAAAAGCGCAGCATTATCATGTTCTTTGTTCGCTTTGGACGAAGCCGTAGAAACAATCTCATCGCTGTTCTTTTCTTGAGGATTTTCTTCAGTATACTCATCGCTGCATGATGAATCAAATATCAACAGATGGGAAACTCAACTGCACCAGAAACTTCAAAAGTAGAAGCACATTGAGAGAATGACGTGCTTCACCAAAACCTGCCCCTAAATCCCCACAAACCTGTACTACTTGACAGTACACCACATACTCACAGCACATTTACACGCTCGACGATGACATACGAAACAGCAGTACGCCGCATTTACTGAGCGAAACCTCCAAGAAATCAATCTCCCTCCGCATACTACCTTCCGTGTAAGTTGCGAAATCAGGCATGAAAATATCACTTTGCTATAAGGAAGTCTCCAAACGGGACCATTATGACCAAGAATTCACAGTTGATCCTAATTTCGAACACTAGCCTAAGACATATATAACTACGAACCAAGCTAAGCATTCCAGCAAAAGTCAAACACGAGGCAAGATACGAGCCTTGACGATCTTACATGTATCTGGCCAAGCAAGCGTGTCGACGAGCCGGCAAGTAGTGCAAAACGAACTGCGAAGCCGCAGCCGAAGCCGAAGCCGACGCCGGAGCCTCGCCGTCGGAGCTCGACATCTGCAACCAACCAACACCATTCCAAAAAAAAAAAACAAAAAAAACAAAAAACGATTAACCGAACACCACACGGACACGGAAAGACAGAGAGAGCTGGGGAAAGAGGCGGAGGGCGGGACCTGCACGACGGCGGAGGATCCCAAGGGGAGCGGCGAATCGGCGAGGCCGTGGGAGAAGACGAGGCGGCCGGAGAAATCGGACGCGATCCGGCGCTCGAGGCAGCCGAAGCAGAACCCGCTCTCCATCTCTTCTTCTTCCTCCTTCGCCGCCCGCCGGAGATCAACGCCGCCGTCCCTCCGGCGATGGTTCCGCCATCGTCGACGCTGGCGGAGAGTACCGTTTCGAGTTCTTTCTTCTTCGAGTTTTTTTTTCCGGGGAGTTTGACGGGAGGGTTGTTATTTTTGCGCTTGGATCGACAGGTGAAGGAAGTCCTTCCTCCCCTGTTTCTTTTAGCGCTGAAGAAGTTGCGGGCAGAAAAGAATCGAAACGCGGCGCCGTTTTTGGATGGCTTTTTCATTCGTTTCACGCGAAAGCTCCACAATTTGACGGGCGAAAGAGGTGGAGAAGGGTGGAGAGTCTTCTAAGAAGAAGGGGAAAACGACACACAAACTGGGCTTTCTGAACTTCGGTTTAGTTTGTAATTTTAGTTCCCGAACTTTAGATTTGTTCGATAATGTCCTTAAACTTTAGATTCATATGAGCAGTTGAATATATGAGGGCGCTCATTTTTTGTTAGGCTCACTATTTAGACGTTGTCGATCGTTTCGCATTTAGCTACCTAACATTTATCATGGGCAAGATAATTGGCTTACAAAAGGCGCGTCTTTTCCCCGATCCTATCATATTAGGGAAAGGTCATGTTGATGTTCTAATGCCCATGACGGAAATATAATGACATCGACCATTTCGTTTAAACTTTTAAACCATGTAAGAGATGGGTCAATTAAGCCTAGGTAGCTTGCATGAGAGTTGGTTTAGCTCCCTCAAATATGGAAAAATATTTTCGAGATGTTAATGAATATTGGATAATGCTATGCTATTTTCCATTGTTATTTAAGTGCTATTAACTTTTTCACTTCATTTTTTTTTATCGCGTCACTTACAAGACAAGTCACCCTTTTGTTTAGACCAAAAAAAGTATCTGAAAATTTTTAAGCTATGCAAAAGAAACAATGACGTGTAGAATTATTGATACCTCAGCCTTTTGTTTTCGAATGAAGAAAAGTTCGATCGATTGGTTGACAGTTTGACCAGGGCTTTGATCATTCACGGGGACAATGCAAAGATCATCTTACATTTGAGAACTCAAAAGTTTGTACCTCATAAAACCCACATAACATTTTCAAGTAGCGAACACCCGATTCTAACATCGCCGGAAAGTTTGTCGTTTCCCGGCGCTTGATGACTAGTTCTGAAATTAGGATTCACGAGCTTTTCAATGCATAAAGAATCGAGTCGAGTCGATCGGACGCATAAAATGAGGGAGAAATCAAACTTTAAATGTTTGGTCAAACACTCACTGGGTGCTCGTCTTAACTTTGGTCGCACAATTACTCGTGGGGTATCCCCAATTCACGAATCTTTCGGAACACCTCGGGCATATAGCAAGCTATCCTTTTTCATTCATTTTTGTAAGCAATACATGTGAGTCCAAATCATTCATTTTCCGCGAAATAAATGCGGCATTTATTACTTATCGCAAAAAGGAAAAAATGCACAAAATTGAGAGACCAGTTACTAAAGTTTCTTGAAAAAGCTTTAATGAATGGTTTAGGAAAACTCAGCACTTCCCTTGATTTTATTAATCACATTGGTCATGACCATCAACAATTAGTCGATGATTTTAGGACCGGTAACATCAAATAATGACGACATGGTACTGAATAAATCTAAAGTGTCTGCAAAATCTGAGAAAGGTACAAACTGCACCTTTCAATTCAGAAAACCTAAAGAAGCAAAGAATCATCAGCTTCGGTGTTTCGGCGAGACAGCTTCCCGACTCAGAGTTTCCGGAATTGTTTGCCGGCCATCCAGCTAGTCTTGCTTCAACGATAGTCTTTCTGCAGAGCAAAACAAAGACAGAAAAGAGGAGATGAAGTCTAGGAATCACTTGCAGAGTTTCTATTCATTGGAAATAGAGAGGGATGAGGCCAAAGTTGCAAAACTACTTCGGAGTTGTCTCCACAATCTTTCGAGTTTTTCGACTATAAGAACGGCAGATAGTGAAACAATGTGTCAAACGCAACCCCGGAGAAGAAGCAGATATCGGAAACATGGAATAGTTCTTGTGGAAACATGAAGTACGTGTAACTGCTCTTGCTCATCTTCAATACAGAGATGGGAGGAAAACGTACTTATCAGTTCATAAGTCACGATCATAGTCGTTCCATAGAGCGACATGCTCAGAAACCGTGGTCCGAAACCCCTATAAAACCCCCACCACCCATCTTCTTTGAGTAATGTCTTTGTAGTGTTGAGCACAGAGGGTCTTCCCCCACTAAAATTGTCCATGACCTTCAACACAAGACAAGCAAATGCAGCAATAGTTGTCATAAGAGCCTGCTTAATTAACTACCAAAGAAACATGTCTACCGAATGTGCCTGGAACAGAACACTGTTCTCAACTGAGGCTGTGTCAACATAATAACGGTCAATTTGAAGATAAAACACTTGACCAAGAAACTGATCTTCACCGACTTCTGCCTAAAAGAGTCTAACCTGAAGTCGTGTTTTTACAGTGTCTACAGGAGTAGTAATGATCGACGAGCAAGCGCCAGCCAGCAATCCCGCAGTAGCTTGTACTGTCACCATCTCAGTATGAGATGGCTTCTCCATTTCATCTTTATATCCCAAGCTCCTAGACCAGTGAAAGCGTGATATTGAATATTGACTCGTGCTGAATTCTGATATTGATGAAACTGCAACCATATTTCATGAGCTCACCTCCAGATAATGTGCTGGGCTGCTCCATAGGCGCCCCACCAAAGTGCAGATGCTGGAGACTGGGTAAGAGCCGTTAATCCAAAGCCTCTATAAAGTCCACGTACTCCTTCGACTTTCATGACTTTACGAACCACATCAAACGGTCCATTGCATGATGCAGTTCCAGGAAGTCCTTGCACCATTAGCCTCTGACAGATCTGATGGTCCAATGCAAAACTGTGAGAGAAATTTTGAGTGGTGCACAGAAAAGATTACAAAAATATGAACAGAGAAAGGACTTATTTCCAAATCAACAGGAAATTACGAACAATGATCAAGACCACAGTGTGAGTGAAAAATCTCATACGGAGATTCAAGTATGTTAAACCCTCAAGACAACTCGACTAGAAATTTTTTGGAAAATCAACTAAGAGCTAAACTCCACATTGGGTTACTTTGGCAGCTAATTTGAACTCTTATTTGCAATGGAGAAGGGGGAAAGGTCTATCCACATTGCTACTCCACAGGAACAGTTCATTAACACTTATACAAGATCTTGGGCATCCATAACTAGAAAGATATCCTGACGACCACACCACGAATATGCTTTAAAAGTTTGGTAGAATTACACAGCCTCTGCAATGAGGGTTATGTAAACCAGTTAACAAGGAGTCCCTGACTCTGCATCCGGTAAAATTCCTTGGACTCTGTAGATTACCAACACGAAAACAAGGCAGGATCGTTACAGGAAAAAAATACATACCACATCTAAAGGCACATAGTAGACACACGAAACTAAATTTGACAACATGCCTGCCACACCATTCGCAACGCCGACACGAGTGGCTTCGGGCATATCAAAACGTTCCATATATTTCAGCGTCGTATCTTTCGATACTTCTAGCGACGTCAAAGCCAGAACTCTGCCGGGCAATGATCCAACAGCAGATGTCCCGAAACCTCTATATGCGCCTGGAACACCATCATTTCTCAGTATATGTTTGAACACAACCATCCCACGCATTTGAGACATTCCAGAGCCAGCTACTTGCATTCTAGTCTTCACAACTGCCGCAGGATGTAGTAATGCAGATTGAGCGGTGAGGAGTACAGCCCCAATTATATGAAATCTCATCTTGTCCAACCTAATTGGTGCAAACAAAGGGTCGCAAATTCCAGTTTCAGTAACCAATATAAGCCCATTTATTAAGCTAAGCAGATCTATACTGAAAATTATGTACTCCATTGAATAGATGACAAAAATGACATAGACCTATACAATATGAATTTGGAATAACCAAGCCTGATAAATGTCGGCAGGTATCAGAAAAGAGGAGTTCATGCAGGATCCACAATCCCGTACTGGACGTGATCGGCTGATTGAATTCCTCAATCGTTGAACAGAGGGATGGTAATGGGATAAAAGGTCGCAAAAACAGAGCCACGAGTTCAAAAATCTGGTTGCACTCTTAACTCTGCCACCCCAATTTGTCACTTGAAGGTACACATAGTTCCTCAAATTTTTACACTCTGTTGTTACATATAGCTTTTCAAAACATCCCATGCCCAACTGCAGCAATCAATCGAAAACCAGTGTAAGGATGATCGAAACAATATTTCTACAATTTATGCACTCCCTTTCCACTGCGAACGATTTGCCTCCTTCTTACTGGAACCTAATGCAACAGCTACTATGAACTCATTTCCCGTGGAACACTAAAATTCGAAGAGAACCTTTTCCAGCACGGCAGCAAACCAAAATAACAAGCGACCCACTGAAGAATTTCTCCTAGACTCGAAACCAAGAATCCCCGAAGCACGAAAAGCCGATGATTCAATTCTAAAAACCAGCACGAATATAGCAAACATTCGCAGATCGCAGAGTTCTCACAACACGCTGCAAACCACCGACAGAGAATGATTGCCAAAAAAGCAAAAGCAAAAACAAGAACAGCGACAAAAGCGAGGAAAGCAGCTCCAACAAGTTCCTCGACCCATTGGAATGCGAAAAGCGTCGGAAAAAACATGACCTGTCCCAGTTGATGTCGGTGTCGGCGAGGGCCAACCCCGGCGAGGCGGAGGCGTCGGTCTCCACCGCCATGACGGGTCTCCTCCTCCTGCTCCTCCTCCTCCTCCTCCTCCTCCGGCGGGGTTATCCCCGTGTCCCGAAATCGCAATCCCAGAGACCCTTTTCACGTTCGGACCGAAGGGAAGCTTCTGCTCCGGAGGCGACGCGAAAATGGGAGAAGAACCGTGCGTTTGCACGTCTGAGAAGAGTTCCAGTGACGTTGGGCTCCTCTTCCTGTTCCTTCTCGTCCTTCATATAAGCACGAGGCCTCGGGACTTGGGAGTTGTCACGTTTTGTTTTACTTAAAATTAAGGAAAAGTAAGAAAAGAGAAAAAAGAGAAATTGCGGAGAGACGGATGGAAAGCACGAGGAGGAAAAGGTAAACGAAATGAATTTGGGGAGGGACCGAAGAAGTCCAGATACGGCGCCGCCTAGGGCAACACCGCCGGCCGCATCGCGGGATGACCCGAAAGTGGATGCGAGCACCGCTTCCCTCCGGGGCTCGCCGCTGGCAAGATATTGCATGTCGGAATTGCGGTTCGTCCGCATGCTCGCCGCCGCCAGCAAGACATTGCATGACAGAATTGCAATTCGTCTGCGCGTTTTCAAAATGTGACGTGTCGAATTGATGTTTTGTGAAATGTCTTTGTGCTAGCTAAACGGCCAAGACCATAAGAGATATCAAAACCAGTATGGAAAATCGAGAAAATTGTCCAAAAAGTCATAAACCTATTGCAATTTTGTCAATTTAGTCTTAAACCTTTCAATTTTGTCAATTTAGTCATAAACCTTTTTACTTCTTGCCCATTGAGTCCTAAACCTTTTTATTTCTTGCTAATTGAGTTTTTCCGGTCAATTTTGATAGGAAATCGCTGACGTGGACGCCGGCCGGACTGCACAACGCTAACGTGAATAATTTTTAATAATATTTTTAATATTTTTCGATTTTTTTATTCTTTTTCTTTTCTATTATTTTTCTTTTTTTTCATTTTCTTTTTTTTCTCTCCTTCTTCTTCCTCCAGCCAGTCGCCAGGCGTCGACAACCGGCCAAAGAGGAGGGCTGGCGAGGTCGACCTCGCCCCCGCTGGCCACTACCATAGGCGATGATTTGGCGAGGCTCGACCTCTCCATGGTTGGGCGAGGCAAGCCTCGCCGTTGCTGGGCGAGTGCGAGGCTCAACCTCGTCGCCGTTGCTAGGTAGGGGGAGGCTCGACCTTGCCGGATTTGGCGAGGCCAACCTCGCCCAGCCATGGCGAGCCTTGCCAAGGGCGACGAGGCTTGTCCTCGCCAGTGGTCGGCTGGGGCGAGGCTCGCCCGAGGCCGGTGAGGTTGACCTCGTCGGCCCTCCCCTCTGGCCGGTTGCCGACACCCGGCGACCAGCTAGAGGAGGAAGAAGGGGAAGAAAAAAAAAGAAAAGAAAAATATTAAAAATTGTCAACATAGGCTGGCCGACGTTCATGTCAATACTTTCCGGCCAAAATTGGCCGGATGAACTCAATTGGCAAGAAATGAAAATATTTAAGACTCAATTGATAAAATTGAAATTTTTAGGACTCAATTGGCAAAAATGTAATATGTTTAGGACTTTTTGGACAATTTTCCCATGGAAAATCGCATCATCATCATCATCAAACGCCTCATTTCACTCGAGTCAATTTCACATCTCTTCCACTCTATTTTGCTATCATGAAACCTCACTTTAGGAAAATCGAATTGAGACAATTGAATAGGCTTTTTGGGTTCACTTGGCCCAATCATATTTCTTCTTCCTCCGGCTCCTGAGCCATCATTAGGTGTATCAAGTGCGTGCAAGTCCAATATATTCAAGTCCTTTTGATTATGTGATTCAGTGTGAATCCACTAACATCGAGGGCGTGGATACATTAGGCTCACGTGCACTGAAATCATTAAGAATATTTTCCGTCTTTAATAGGCTCCGACATTTTCTAAGCAACTTCAATGTCGGCTGTCCAAATTGATGCTTTCAATGAGGGTACGTCAACCGAACTGGTAAAGAAAATTGAAGCCGAGCAAATCCCGGAAGACAACAAAATAAAGTCAAATCCAGAAAACAAGGAGAATCAACATAGCACTGGCAGGGTTAAACACAAACTCCATAGAAACGGATTTGTCAAGCAAAATAATCTGCGGCTAATCACTAGATTTCGTATCATCATCGGTGATGAGCACCACTGGAAAGTCCTTCTCCAAAAACTATGGCGCTGCCTTTTGGTGGTGTACGCCTAGGTTCGGCTTCCTCTACACCATCGTCGGATGGAGACAACCAAAACGGGTTGAAAATACACAGATCTAACTTTTGGAAGAGTAAATCTTTGTGGCTCAGCGAGACGCCAAAACTCTTACAATCATCAATGAAACTGAAGGTAAAGGACTTGTACATGGACAGAGCATGAGGGTATCAAATCCCCGAAAACATTATTAAACTTCTAAATCTAAATTGGGAGAGTAAAGTTCCTAGATCTAGAACTAAATCAGGAGAGTTCAATCTCTTAGATCTAGAATTAGACCGAGAGAAAAGAGCTCCATGATTTAGATCAAGAGAGAAGAAAAAACAAGAAAAGAACAAAAAGACTCAAACAAAATCAAGGGAGGGGAGGGTGAGATTAGCTCAAACCCTCCCCATGGCTGAAACTTGAAGAAGACAGTGGAGAATGAAGAGAGAGAGAGAAGAACTTTTTGGCTTCTGTTAGGATAGATTTGACTTTTTAGTGGCCTGCATAAGAAGAGCAGTTTCTAATCAGTTTACGCACGAGTAGACAAAACCATCTTTAGCAAATCGTCTAAGATCATAATTATATTGTTCCTTGAACTCATAGCACAAACACCCTCCTTCTGTTTAATTAGGTCATCTTTCGGACCCTTCCTCTTTATTTCGCTATCATGAAGGCTTGCTCTAAATTTATATGGATATAAAGAAAAATTGAATTGAGATATTTGGATAGGCTTTTTGGGTTCACTTGGCCCAATCATATATTTTCCTCCATTTCTCGAGCCTTTATTAGGTGTTTCGAATGCATGCGAGTTCAATATATTCAAGTCTTTTAGATTATGTGATTCCACGTAAATCCACCAATGCGTACAAATACATTAGGCTAGCATGCACTAAGGTGATTCATATTATTTCCTATCTTTAACGGGCTCCCATATTTTCTCAACAACTTCAATGTCAACCATCCAAATTGACACTTCGATTGCAATTGAGCTATCGGTCTAGATTCTCAACTCTTTAACTATCACGCCCCATGTCGGAATCATGATCCGTGGGGGTTATTTTTGCGACGTTCCGTTCATTGTTTCATCTTTTGTTATGAGCAAGCGGAAGCATAGACTCGGGACAATCACAACAATATCAAGTAACAACGGGGTTAGAAAACACACTACAAGCACGCTTCTATTTACATGATAATGGCTATCATTACAAGCCCTTATCTACAGGCCCTTAGCCGCTTGTACATCCTTCAAAACACACGATTGGGTTATCCTACTCCGCTACCGTGACTTTCACAAAACGTTCTCAAAACTATCTTCCCAAAAGCCGACCTCCTTCCCCACTCGTCCATCTCGCCTACACCCCGTTCGCGGCACCCCTGGGCGCGAGACCATTGACTCCCTCGAATGGTCCGTTGAACTTGCGAAGGGGGCTGAACAGACCACCCTCAGTCCACATGTACCACACCTCATAGGTGTGAGGCACGGGGTTGTCCAGACCATGACCAAGGAAATAACCTTGCGGTAGGCTCTACCCGCGCCCGTATCAATGAAGTCAGGCTCGTTCACTACTAACTCCACTAGGGTACTAAAACGAATGGGTGGGGACGCTATCCTACAAATCTGAGGAAAACCACGGGGAGTAAGTCAAGGACTCAATAAGTAAATCCACTAATTTCAAGTTAGGAGGAAGCAATCGTTGGCGAACATGTGCCCAAACCTTTATTGCCCCGGGTATCGATGGCAAATCAATAGCAAAAACGTGCCTTACCTTGGCCACGTACTATTCAGGGTTCACGCATCAACCAAAAGAACATCAAGCATGGTACATAAACGACGCATGCATCAACACATGGTATTTTGAGCACGCGAAAATAAACACACGGGATTCATTTATTATTAACCAAAATCCATCGTTTTTTTTCCGAAATTCATCGTGCATTCGAAATCCATCGAGCATCCGAAATTCACCGGGCATTCGAAATCCATCGAGCATCCGAAATCCATCGTGGACGGCTTTAGTCCCTCGTGTGTCCATTCATCAAACCTCAAGCAATCCGGTTTCTTATCTTTATTTCTTAGTCCATGCAAACAAAAGGGTCCTAAGGCGTGAATGCAAGTGAAATTCATGGATAATAAACCATAAGCATCTAGTATGTCGGCCACGATCCAGGGCCCCTGACTTGATCCAACAAGCCAAGCGTTGAACTAGAATCAAACTTAACTCATATTCGATACGCCTCAATATCGAACTTTTACCAAGCAAGGTCCGGTCCATACGCCATAACGTGCGTACAAGACATACGTTTCCTCTTTCGCGGTCAAGTCTTGCTTCAACTCGTGACTATGGTTTACAAACGACAAAACACCCAAGCAAACATCAAGCAAGTCTCGAGCACGGATCTGGTAAAAACACAAGTCAACAACATATCACAACATCTTATCCCGAGATTAGGGAATCTACTTACAACAACTAAACAAAAGGCAAAGCTTAGTGGGGACCAAAGAAAAAAGTAGAGTGAGGATGATGGTTGGCCGAGTGTGTGTGGGGGCGTGAGAGAGAGAGAGAGAGAGAGAGAGAGAGAGAGTGTGTGTGGCGCGAGGAAGGGGTTGGCCGAATGAGGTGGGGTAGGCGTGAGAAAGAATGGGCCAAGTGGGGACACTTTCCTATTTATAGTATGGCCTGCAAAGTTAATTATGAAGAATGGGCCAAAAGTCTAACTGATGATGAATGTGGTCTTGAAAGTCTTTGCCATAATTAATCTTCTTTCTCAAGCTTTTAACTTGGGCCATTCATTCCTTAACTTGGCTTTCAAGTTGCTTAGTAGGGTCATCATGCCTTACTAGGCCATTTAAGACCAAGGCTTCATTGATGGCCTTTCTATACTTGTCTTTGTCATTTCTTCCTTGTCTTGGGCGTGAGACACCGTATCTTCACTTTCAAGATACTCTAGTATTGACCATGGTCTCTATTATTAGTGTTGGTCTTTATTATGGGTGTCTTGTAAGATAAGCTCTATTATCGGTCAACTTGCAAGAG